CGACCCTCAGATTGCGAGTCGAGCGTCCTAACCATCTGGCCATGCCGAGCACGTTTATAGAGGTATATAACTGGTTACTATTGTTTGTAAAGATATATAATTGGTTAATGTTGTTTATACAGGTACATAACTGGTTAGTATTTTTTTATACAGACATTATTACTTGAGAATTAAAATATCAGTTTTACGACACAGTGGTCTGTTCACAGTAAAACAATATTAGTTTTCTTTCCTTAACCATTTAACTTCATTAGGAACAACTGTCTGGCTACAAATGGTAAATAGTAATTTTAGATTTCAATTATTTCGAATCTGAACACCATATCTACTTGTAATTTTTTAAATGCAGTTTTATTTCGCAACCGATAAGGAGTGTATCCCACTGCTATGTTAAACCAAATTTTGCAGAAACGGCACAGATGCCTTACAATCGTACAATTCCCGTTTTGTAGTATGTATCCTACTTTTACTTGTCTGTCCTTTGTGTGTGACGTTTTTAATTCCTGGCCTAGTTGTCTGAAATGTTTGTATAGCTATATATATATGTCAAATAAATTATTTGTAAACATCAACCACAAACATGTAGTGGTTACTGTATACATTCGCATTATTGACTGTTTTCAATTGTTTACGTGTCTTAGTACAATGTGTCGATTTTGCAATACAAAAGTACTCAGCATATCGCACAAAACTCGTTAAGTGAACCGTATCATTCAGTATTCCTGAAATAAATTAAAACCGCCACACATGATTGAAAGTGCATAAATATCCAGACTGTCTGTAACTAGTCTACACCCAAACACCAAATATGAGTTATTTTATTTTATTCAGACTGTCTGTAACTAGTCTACACCCAAACATAACACCAAACATGAGTTATTTTCTTTTTCCATAGCCGAATGTTTCTGAAGAATTACGATGTAGCTACATTATTTATTACAAAATTAAAACGTGGTTGGCCAGAAAGAAAAGTACAGGTGAAATTTACAAGAAGGTAATAAAATCTTAAATTAAAAACAACCTTTCATTTGTCGCACCTTTCGAGACCTTCATTTTCTAAATTTCAATGTTGTATCTAATGGGATCATCTTTGTCCATAGGATGATATTTGTTAGGGATTTGTACTTTTTCATATTGCATTTCCTTAGGGTTGTATTGTTCACTTTAAGTTGGATATTTTTCAGTCAATAGTCTTATTGAAGGTAATTTGAAAGCTTTGGCAAGTCTTGTATGAACACGTGGCTTTGGAAATATTTCTATCCGAAATGCTCGATATTGATGTTTTTATGCAAGTAAAAACAATTAGTAGACTATTGAAGATTCTCAAATTAACCTCTATTTTTTACATATACAAATGAACAAATTTAAATATAGATATACAATCCAAAACTTAAAATACACATTTACTGTCACGAAAATTACATTTGAACAAAATATTGTTTTAAGTATAAAAAATCACCACAATATCAAATTCGATGTATGAAAAACACATATATACATATTTTGTTATCTAAAAAACAAAAACTATTGTGTCTGCTTGTGATTGAAAGCACAGAACACGTATAAATACTTACATTGTCCGTTCATGAAAATAAACCCTCCAATCATTAGAACATAATGCAGGTTAAACTGCTTGGAGGTATCATTGGTCCAGGCTACACCGCCGCCATAATAAATGATCCAGAAGATACAGAGACCAAGACAGCCAAAGAGCAGCACTTCGGAGATAAACAATAACAGACCATACCCATAACGTAATGGCATGGATAGCTCGTTCTCCACTTCTGTGTTTCTAAAATAAACATTTAAGAGATGTGTTATTGACGTTTAACCATTTGCTACAGAATTTTGCTCATTTCTGTTCACTGAGATTCAGTTCGTTTCTCGGGTAGATAAATGTTTAGTTATTTTATTAATGAAATTAGTGCCTGGGGAATGTTAAAATTTACTGTTTTGATGATTCAAAGCATGGATAATTACACTAGTTCATTTTCTGAACAGAAAGCTGTAGTGTATTGTTGTTTTATTTAAACATTTTTGAGTGTTGTATTAAATTATTTTAGTATTTCATTGTCCTGGAATTGTTGATCTAGCCATTTCTTTAGTAAATTTATAAATAATGAATTATATACTAGCTAGCTATTTATTTGAATTCCCTTCACATATTTGTAGAACACTCCATTTATTTGACTTTACAAAACAGGTTGATCATTTGACGTGTCAGGAGACACAATATTTACACAACTTTAAGCAGTATATTAATAAAGATAATAACAACTGCTAAAAATACTAAAAAATAACTATGTTATCTTTGTTTACTATTCACGATAAAACGTTGCTCATCTCTGTTCTTTAGCAACTTGCTTCACGTGTTCCACCTAGTCTTTTCACTATTGTTTTTGAGGATAGGCTTCTATTTTCAACTCGGAAAAAGTTCCAGACAAAGATCCCTTATGTAAAGATGCACAATCAAATTAGCTGTCATCACGATCTCCACTTAGTACATTGTTTTCACAATAGGGGCAAGACAATGGCAAAACCGTGCTGTTTCCACTACAGGAACAAGGCGCTGGCAAAATGAAACTGTATTCACAATAGAAACAAGATGTTGGTAAAATACTGCTGTTTTCGCCATAGAAGGAAGTCGCTGGTAGAGTAACTATTTTCAGAGTAGAGACAATAGTTTAGCAAATTAACACTTTTTTCATAATCAGGACAAGGATCGACTTCGATCAACTGTCTGCTTTAATTAGCCATTAAGTTGATATGAAATATCGTCAGCATTCCTCTCAAGTTCTTTTCGAAACTCTACAAACACATGTGTGATAGACCAAACCCATATAAAAGTATGTTAGAAAGAAACACTTCGTTAATTTCAAACTTCATTTCTGTACATGAACAAAATGGATCATACAATCATACACTTATATTGTCAGATTTAATTCGATTTCTCTACATTCAGCTGCTTATGCTCCTCCCACATTTCACTAGCTAACTGCATTTTATTTAAGAAGCTCCCCGTTTATTGAAGGCTTCATAAGAAACTAAGTTTGGTTTTGTTAAAAAAGAGTAACACTGAAAGTTCTCGACATTTAGATATTAAGACATTTCAACATATTCTACGACCATTCTTGTGCATAGATTTCATAAAATATGTAAGAACATTCAACGTTTCAACATGCACAATAATTTATTGAATAATTTAAAAATAAAATATACAATTAAAAACTCTACATGATTCGGTGGAAAAAGTTCCACCAGCTTCAGGAGACCAGAAGAAATACAGGAAATTACATTTTATATTTTCATACCACGTATATAATTTGCATATTATACAGTGCCATCTACAGAAAAGATTTCCAAAAATTCACTTCTCTGGCGTCAGTGCCTAGATCTCTATTCAAAATCATTTTAAGTTTAATAACTTCAAGAGATTCTCTTATGTTTAATTCATGTTTAGCTTAACTTCTTTACGTACTTGAAACTTATCCCATTCAATGTAATGCGAAGAATTTGCCATATGTTCCGCCAAGGATGAAACACTAGTTTTCAACGGCCTTCTTGTGTTCATTAATTCGAAACTTTAAATTTCTCATTTTTTGGCCGATATAATTCAAGCCACAACTGCAAGATATTATATATATACCCCACATTTATCATTTAATTCAATGTTGTCTTTAAAACTATTAGGTCGTCAAGAAATTAATGTCGCGTTTTGGAACACTTTCATTAATTACCCTGGCCCGGCATGGCC